CCATAAAAAATGAGAAATTAGAGACATTTATAGCTAAATGGATGCACATTGAGGTGATACTCTTAAGTGAAATAAATAGGACAAACGTGTAAATACCAAATGGTTTCTCTGATGTGAGAAACTGAAAGTGTCAATAAGGACTAAAAGTTATAATAGGTAGTGTGAAATGGGAAGAAAAGGGGTTAAGGGGAAGTGGGAGGGTTAGGGAAAAGGAAAGAAGGGAATGGAATTAATATGAGAAAATGAAAAAAATGGAAACAAAGTCTCTGTAAATAGGGAGGGGTGGATGGGTTGAAGGGAGGGCAAGGGAATGGGGAAAATATAAGAGCCAAGACACATTATGTAAAAGTACAAGTTCCCAATGATGAATATAACTGGATTGTAAATGTATCAATAAAATAAAAAAGAATTATTATTATTATTATTATTTTTGTACCAGAGATTGAACTCAGAACCTTGCATTTGTAAGGCAGGTGCGGTGCCACTGAGCTAAATCCCTGGCCCTAAGAATTATTTATAGTTTAAATTTTTATAAATTCACACTAATAGAACAAACAGTCAACATATGAAATACAAAAAGGACTTATACAATATTTATATATTTCTTTGTATAAAAAATTATACATATAATTAACTATATCATATAGAACAAGTCCAAAAATATATACACTATCAGTATTAGCATTAGTTATACTGTATTGATAGAATAGTTTAAACAAGTTTTTGTAATTCAAAAAAATATAGCTATGCGTACACATACATTTAATAACAGCTCTATAAAAATTCTAACAGCCTTATTTCTGGGAGGTTATGTAAAATGATGGGAAATGTTCACTTTCTACCTATTACTCATCTATGCTGTCTGTATATTTTAAAGTGAGGATGAGTTACTTTGATACTCAGAAAACACTGATAAATATTTACATTTTGGAAAAATAGCTATAGAAGCTTATAAAAATACAAGTAGCATATTTTTCTATAGTTCTGACAAATGTTACCCGTTGAGGAAATTTAGTAAAGGGTACATGAGACTTCTCTGTATTATTTCTTACAACTGCAATAAGAATCTACAGTTATGTTTAATACCCCTAAAAAAAACCTAAGCAAAAAAGAAATTCAAAAAGAAAAATCAAGTACCCTAAATGCAATGCGGCATCCTGAAATGACAGAAAAAGGACATTTTTGGAAAAAGTGGTAAAATAAGGATAAAGTTTAGAGTTTAGTTAGTAGCAATATACCAGTATTAATTTCTTAGAGGAACAGATGAATAATTATGATTTTTTTTTTTGAAAAATACATTAGGGTAATGTAAGATGTTGATACTGGGAGAACTGAATGAAAGGTATACTGGAACTCTGTACTAACTTTGCAACTTTTCCAAAACCTAAAGTTACCCCCAAATAAAATGCTTATTCAAAATACAATTGTGGGGTCCTATAAATGTGACAAATCAATTTATTTTCCATGCATGTCCAAATATCCATATATTTCCATATATTTCTAAAAAGCTTTTGATGTGCAGGTAGAGTTAAAAGCTACTGAACTATTTTCAGAAGCCCACTATTTCAGAAAATAGCTCACTATTTCCAGAAAATTTTCCCCAGATTTAAAAACTTGGGACAATATTTCAGCTATTTTTATTAATAATACAAGTTAATTTTATTATAATAAATCCCTCCAGAAAGGAGGTCATTATATACAAAATATTTCATGGCTAAACAGTGATATTTTTGGTTGATGTGGTTATAACAAAGGCTCTTACCTAACCAATGTCTTTCCCCCTGTTCTTATAAAAGGACAATTAAAAGTGAGCTTTGCATTATACTGGGGCCAACTCACCAGGTGGTATAGCCTTCATATCAGCAATAAACACTAGCAAGTCTTGTTCTCCTTCCCTAAACTCAACACGAAGAATGTCACTTAGAGCTCCAACAAGTTCTGTCACATTTAAGAAGCCCAAGTTCTTTGGTGAAAGTTGCTCTTTAAAAATTGTCTGTCATGAAAAAACAGAAATTACATGAAAACGACAGTAGATAACAGAAACGTAAAGTATTCAGATGCCCTCAGACAATGCTTTAATTTGGATTCTGCCAAAATGAATTTGTAGAGTCAATAGCTCAAGTGCAAAGTTTTAGTTGCTTTGAGAAGACTGAAGTGAAAGTAAGGGGTCCTTTTTACTTAATAATAGCTAATTATAAAGCAAAAGAGTCTTCAAAATGAGGAGTGCAAAAAATACAAAATCACAAGATAAAACTATTGTTATTTCTATACATGTACAGAAAGGAAATATTCACTATCATTATAAATATGCAGAACGGTATTACAATTTAAAATACTTCTTAAATTTTATTATTTCATCTTAGAAGTTGGGAGAAATAGGCAGATATCCATCTGTGTACTTCTTGTAGTATATGGTTTGATTTTCTTGTGTTGGTAAAGTCATACCAAATAAAGATAGAGCACATAGGACAGGCACTGTGTATACTTTGGATTAAACTGCACAGAGAATTGGTAAGTTTACCCTTGTCCAAAAGGCCTGCTATTACAAATGCTCAAATTCTTAATTCAACATTTGTCTCTTGAATCAAGAGAGAGCAACTGTGCCAATAATTAATTATTGGTCTCTTTCTCTGTCTCGGTTAGTGGTGGTGAACTTATGGCATATGTTATTTTTCTTTTAAGACAAAAGAAATTAATATATGAGTTGTTTTTTCTAAACTAAAACCTCAGTATTCAAGTTTAATTGGCACTTTATGATAAGTGGGTTTGGGGTTGCAGTTTGCGCACTCATCTCTAAAAAGTTTGCCATCATTGGTTTAGGTTTTAATAGGAAATGAAGGCTTGCTTCTGACTTAAGTGCCTTGGGGAAGATCAACATGAACAGAGAAGGCAAACACTATAAAAGGACTGGGCCTTGAATGAGGATGATGCAGCTCCAGTGCAGATTTCCTTGTTTATGTGATGCTCTAAGACCCCACTAAACACTGTATGACTTCTCCCATGAACACTTGAAAAAATAGGAGCCCAGAATCCATCATATCATAGTTCGTGAATATTACATCTTTACCCATGAACATCCCAAGAGAAAAAGAAATGGTGGAAGACAGGGAAGGGGTGGTGGCAAAAAGCTAGTATCTCTACTTACTACTTTATACATTGCATATTCAGGTTTCCTTTTACGTTCATTGGTCACTAATGGTCTCTTACCCTCTTTGTTTCTAGTACTATGAAAATGCAATTCAAGTGAACATACATACTGGGTTGGGAAGAATTTAAAAAACTGTAAGTTACTGCATTTTTTAAAAGATAACATTCAAAGACTTAAGAAAGTAAAACAGTCTCCAGCAACCCCTCCAATTCTTCAATCAGAAATCATTTCCTTCAAAAGTAAATATAATTACCAGCTTTTTGCACAACTTCTCAGAAATTGTCGAATTTGAACATGCTTTAAGATTACTGACATTGTACACATCTTTTTTAGTTAATATAGAGATGTCGTATTAGTACATGAAACAGTTGTATTTTGCTTTTTGAGCCTGAGAATCAGTTTAAAAGCTGAGTTAATTCACTGATATATCAGATATGTTTTGTCTTCATTCATTGTTAATGCTTTCTGCTTTGACTCTGAACCATGAGCAATGAAGACAATGATTTCTACTCTTATTCTCCTTACTTCCCTTGTATCCCCAGTCTAATTTTAGTTATATTATTTTTTAGAGTTTAGATTTATACCTTGAAATATATATATATGCATCCTAACATGGTTTTGTTTCCCAACGGTCTGAATTTTGCAGATGATAAACTCATACTGTAAATACTATTTCCTACAAATTGGCAGCTGGATCAGACTCATACTTGATCCCTCTGACAAGTTAGTAAGTGATACTATCTATCTTTTTTTTTAAAAGACATGATGTTTGGTTGTCTCTTTTGGGGGTTGGTAGGAGCCATTATTATTAGTCAATGTCTTGATGCATTATTTTGTTTAGGGTTTTAACTGTTATTCTATCAGTTCATTAGAATATTTTTATGGAGATATGCTTCCCCTCATTTACTTTTTTTTTGGTACTGGGGATTGAACTCAGGACCCTGCGCTTGCAAGGCAGGCAGCAGAACCACTGGGCCAAACGCCCCCCAGCCCTGCCCTCATTTGCTATTGGTTACCCAGTCATACCAGTTTATATAGAAAACCAGGAAAAGTGTTGAGTTTATCATTTTTCAAGAAGATGATTTGTTATCTTCCATGTTGACTCACTTCTAAATATCATTTGAACTCATAGAATTAAATTTGGTGGGCTTTAAGCCACTGCAATTGTTATTCTTATTAACGCTTAAAACAACTCTTCAAGTATATTCCTAAGCTCTTTTGATGTGAACCTTACTCTTTGCAGTTTCCTTGCTGGTCTGGTAAGACAAGATGTTCCAGGCTTAATTTATGCAATTAGAATATCCTTGTTCATACTACTAGAACTATCCCATAATTATTTTCATTATACTACATTATATAACAATAGTCTCCAAATAAAAATAATAATTTTATCACCATATAATTGATACAAATAAACTTTTGCATATGCTCATCACTCTGCTTACCACTTTGTGTAACGTATTTTGAGAAACAAAATCCTTACCTTCAGGACTTATATATTCAGATTTTCTACTTTAGCTTGCCTCAGTTTAGTACTCTGTGCCTTTTAAAGAATTTGGCCACTTCATCTAAATTGTCACAGTTGTTTGCAACATTTCTTTATTGCCTTTTTAGTATCTGTATGTAATGTCCTGCCCTGATAATGGTCATTTGTATCCTCTTTAACTTGTGGTTTATCCATTTTGTTGATATTTCATTTGGTTTTGTAATTTTTCTCTTGATTGTTCCTATTTTATTTCTATTTTTAGCTTTAGCATTTCCTTCTTCCCATGTTTACTTTTCTTTTTAGCCTTTTAGAACAGATCCTTAGTTCAATGACAACTTCATATCCCTTTCTAAGCATTTTAAAGCTATGTCTTTCAGCCCTGCTTTAGTTACATCAAAATTTGAGATGTATTTTCATTATTTTTCAACTGAAAATATCTTCAAATTTCCTTTGTGATTTCTTCTCTAATAATTATTTAGAAGAGTGATTAGTTTCCAAGTATGTATAGGGTCCTGAGTAACTTACTGCATTGATTTGTAACTTAATTTCATCTTAACCAGAGAATATAACTGTAAAATTGCATTATTTTGAAATTTGTTGAGATATATTTTGTAGTCAACTATAATTGATCTTGGCAAATGTTTCATGTATAATTGAATACATATTCTTCAGGCGTTGGGTACAATATTCTATAAAAGTTAAATAAATAAAGGTAGTAGAGAGTGTTATCAAGATATTGCTTATTCGTTTTTAAAGCCATTTTATGAATTGCTAAGAATGTTAAAATCCCCAACTGTATTTGTGAAATTCTTTTTTTAAAAATTCTTTTATTAATACATTTTAGGTATACACTGTTTACATTTATCATTGGATACTTGTACCTGTACATGGTGTATTTTGGTTATTTATTCCCCATTACCTATGCGCCCTTCCCCCTCTCCACCCTTCTCTATTTACATAGACTTTGTTTCCATTTTTTTCTTTTCTCATAATTTTTCCTTTCCCCTTCCCCTCCCCCTCCCAACACCCTTACACCTTTGGAATTTTTCATCCTGTTCCAAATTATCAATTATTCATTTTAATCATGTTAATCCTTATTTACACTTTCAGTTCCTCACACTAGAGAAACTATTCGGAATTTACACATGGGTCCTATTTATTTCACTTAAGAGTATGGCCTCAACATGTATCCATTTAGCTACTAATGTCTCTAGTTTCTCGTTCTTTATGGCTGAGTAGTACTCCACTTTATAAAAAAAAACCCACATCTTTATCCAGTTTCCAGTTGATGGGCACTTGGGCTGTTCCCAAGCTTTAGCTATTACAAACTGTGCCACTATAAACATGGGTGCACATACATCACTTTGGTATGACTCTTTGAATTCTTTGGGGAAGATACACAGTAGGGGAATAGCTGGGTCAAATGGGACCTCTAGCCCTAGTTCTTTGAGGTATCTCCATACTGA